TACTACCTGGTACCTGCCAAAGCCACCACTACCCAAATTTCATAGTCTGGGTTTGTTATTACCTGTGTTGGGGGCGTATATAGAGCAGCTTTCAGCCTTTATAAAATAACGAAGGTCTGGCAGTCGCGGGCTCTTGGGCTATTAATAATGGGGTGTTAGACACTGGTTAAGAAGGCAGAGGGATAAGCATATAAGTGTATTGCCTGTCAAGTCATTGTGGTAAACAAATGTAGGGAAGCAGTGCGGGTATAAGGCTGTCGTTGAAAGGTTATTTAGTTATCTGCTATGGGAGATAGAGGGACATTTGCGTATGGGAAAGGGCATAGCTTTACAATCGACCGAGTGAGGATGCCGGTTTTGGTGCGTACGGAAACTACGCGAATATGTCCATCTGGACCGGGATGTGTCGCTTCGATGCGTCCAAGACGCCACTCAGTGGGTGGCAACGTATCATCTATAATTAGGACGCATTCTCCAACTTTCGGTGAAGCTTTAGTGTCTTTCCACCTATAACGTTTCTGAAGGTCTTTGAGATAATCTTCCTTCCAACGGCGGCTGAATTGATGGTGCATAACTTTAACTCTTTTCCACCTATTGAGGAGAGACAAATTTGCTATGATCTACTTCCGGAAGCGACAAGAGGGCAGTTCCCCTTAGGAAATGGCCAGAGGTGAGGGCCGTGAATTCTGTTGGATCTTGGGAGAGAGCGGAGATGGGACGGGAATTTAATACCGCTTCGATCCTAACTAAAAGAGTGGTGAATTCTTCAAATGTGAACTTGTGTGCTCCATCCGTCCGTTTGAGATGTAGCTTGAAGCTTTTGACGGCGGATTCCCAGGGGGGGGATAAATCTCCATTCAATGCCTTGGGGAGAGTAGTGCTTGACGATGTCTTGGGATACTTCTTGCAGGAAACTACAGAATTCCTTCTCTGTTGCTCTTTTGGCTCCAATGAAAGTAGTGCCATTATCGCTCATCATTCTTGATGGATAGCCTCGACGCCCAACAAACCGGGCAAACGCGGCGAGAAATGCGTTTGTTGTTAAATCGGAACACAGCTCAAGGTGAACCGCCATTGTGGTGAAACACACAAATACGGCCACGTAGCCTTTCACAATGATGGAGGACCTTAGCATGGAGGCTTTTACTTGAAAAGGCCCAGCAAAATCTACACCGGTAGTGGTGGAAGGCGGAGCGTATGTGCAACGCTCTGGTGGCAACGCCGCCATGATTAGAGAGCGCGTTTGGTGCTTGTGGGTGGTACGAGCTTTACATTGAAAAATGCACTTTTTTATAAGAGGCTTGAGTCGGGGAATGTAGAATTCCTGTCTTATCATTTGCTACATGAGCCAAATTTCTGCGTTTAAGAGGAGCTCGTGGAGAAAACGAAGATAGAGAACAGCAAATCGAGATTTTTTGGGTATAATGAGGTGATGACGCTCATTATAGCTAAGAGTGGAGTGGGCCAAACGACTATTGACCCGGAGTAACCCACATTTGTCTAAAAAGGGGTTGATAACTAGCAGTGGGCTTGTCTTAGCGATTGGCACTGACTGCGATAAGCATGAGATGTCTCGGGGGAAGTAACGGTTTTGAGTTAAGGTAATGAGACCGCGTTTGGTGGAAGGGAAATCATTATGCGATAGGGATAATGTGGGAGGATCCTGGGCAGCTTGATTTCGGTTCTTTAAGCGATCTAAAAATTTGAAGACATATGCCATAACTTTAAGCATGCGGAAGAAAGACGAAAAGCGATCTCAAATGTCGGTATCATCTTCGGCAGTGGGAAATTCGTCGACTCGACGGACTTCCGGTGGGTTAATAGAGCGCGTAGCGGATTTTGGCCAGGTGTCGGCTGGTTGGGTTAGCCAGTTGGGCCCATGCCACCACAGAGAAGAGGAGGCTAATTCGAGGGGTTTGCATCCTCTTGTTCCCATATCCGCGGGATTTCCGCTGCTGCATACATGCCTCCGAGTGGAATTTCCTACCAGATCAATGATTTGCGCGGTGCGGTTCGAGACGTAGGTTTTCCAGGAGTGGGGCGGTTTTTCCAGCCAAGCCAGGACTATTTCTGAATCTGACCACATTGTCAGTTTTCGATCTGAGAAACCAAGTTGAGATTGGACAGCTGAGGCTAATTTAGCTAGAAGGAGAGCCGAGGTAGGCTAATGGTTCTGAGGGGCGCAGCCTTGCCTTTTGACACCAGTAGGTGGGAAGAGACTCGTGCACCTTATGTGGCTCCGACGTATATGGCTGCGCAATACGCTATTTCCGAAGCGTCGCAGAAATCATGTAGCTCCATTTGTTGGCCTGGAACGTAATTGACCCATCGGGATATTTGAATGCCGAGATAGACTTCAAATTGTTGGCGAATTCAACCATTTATGGAGGCGGAAGGGTTTGACTTGTTCATCCCAGTCAGTTCCATCGAGCCATAGCTCTTGTAAGAGAACTTTGGCTTGAATCTTTATTGGCGAGAGCCATCCTGCGGGGTCGAAAAGTTTAGCGACAGAAGAGAGAATTTGTCGCTTTGTGCTCGCCGACGAGGCTGATATGGATTCAATGGTGTAAGAGAAGGAGTCAGTAATGGCATTCCATTGAATCCCGAGGGTTTTGGTGGTACTTCCTTTTTCGAATACGAGAAAGTAGCTATCAAGTAAGTCCTCCTTTTTTATGTCTTTGAGCAAATCAGGGTGATTCGCCGTGATCTTTTTAAGGGGAAGCTAGCGGATTTTAGAGCTTGAATGACTTCAGAGAAAGATTTAGTTGCTGAGATGAGGTCGTGACCTCCAGAAAGTATGTCGTCCACATATGTTTCGGATTTTAGTATTGGCACCGCCAAGAGATGTGTTATTTTTACATCATCAGAGAGTTGGTGAAGAGTGCGTATTGCGAGAAATGGTGCACAATTTACACCGAATGTTACGGTCTTTAACCTGTAGTCTCGAATGGGGCTGCTTGGAGATGATCTAAATATAATTCTCTGGTAATTCTGGTGGTCTTTATGTAAAAGTATCTGACAATACATTTTTTCTACATAGCCATTGAACACAAACTGATACGTGCGCCATTTGAGGATTAATAGCATCAGATCGGGTTGAAGTGTTGGTCCGGTATAGAGAACATCATTAAGAGAGAGTCCGGAACCTGATCTTCGTGATGCATTAAATACGACACGTACCTTGGTGGTTCTTTTTTCGGGTTTGACAACCGCGTGGTGGTGGAGGTAGAAGGAATAATATTTTCCTTCTGAGGATTTTTCATAGGAAGCTGTTTCTTGCATATGATTTAGGGTGAGATATTCCCCTAAGACATTATCATACAGGGGCTTAAAGTCGGTTTTTTTTGAAGACTTCTCTCCAGACTGAAAAATTGCTGGAGAGCTGTGGTGCGAGATTGACCTAAAGATATTTCCTTCGGGAAGCTTGGCTTGAAAGGAAGCCGGACTACGTAGCGACCTTCAGGTGTGCGCGATGTAGTGGATTGGTATAACTCCTCACATAGCTTATCTTCAGGACTCATGAGGTTGGGTGTCGGCACTTCTTCTACCTCCCAGAACTTTCGTAGTTGGGACTCCAGAAGTTGTTGTAGTATTTTGTGCTAACAGATTTTTTTGAGATATGCTCCATGCCTTCAAGCATGATTTGCGGGATGAGATCGCTGCCTATCACTAGGTCGATTTGAGATGGGGAATGACAATTGGGGTCTTGCTAGCTTAATATGAGACCACTTCTCGCGTTGTTCGCGAGTTGGCTGGAATCCTTGGAGTATTTTTGTTAGTTGGGGTAGCAAAATTGCTTGAGCAGTGACTTTTGTAGCCAAGTTGGAGGAGACTAAGTCCAGAGAACAGATTTTGTTCGAAGTCTGAACTACCGTCCCACCCATGCCGGAGATTTCAAAGTTCGAGCTTTGACATGGTAATCTCAGTTTGTTTTGGGCCTTAGAAGAAATGAAGCTCCGTTCTGAGCCCTGGTCGATGAGAGCTCGGAGTTTAAATAGTTCTCCTCTCTGTTCTACTGAGACTATCGCTGTAGGGAGAAGGACTTTACTCTCATTTTCAGAGTAGTACGATTATACTCTGGTTCCATTAGAACTTGACGGTAAATCATCTTTTTCTTCTGTTTCTTGTGGGGCTTGCAAGTTGGGGCTCGGGATATCAGTCATGGCTACCTGCGATGTGGTCCTTTGTACTCGAGAGTCTTCCCTTTTTGGCGGAGGGGCTGTGCTGTGCTGAAGCACTGAGTTGTGTCTTTCTCGACAATTGGGGCAGTTTTGAGTACTTGGACAATCTTTCAGAGAGTGTGACTGAGAGAGGCAGTTAAAGCACATGTGTTTTCTCTTACGAATTTTCTGCGATCTTGAACTGACAATTTACGGAATCTGTGACAGTTCCACAATGAGTGCGAGGAATCTATGCACATGGAACATTTATACATCGTACGCTATTCTGTCACATGCAATTGGACTTGCGTCGATGATTTATTATGCGACTGTTGAAAGTGAGAAGGTTTGAAGGGGGGTCTGTTGTGCAGTTGAGGGTTTCTAACTAAAATGGAATTTTGGGGATTGGGTCTTGGTTTGGCTGGGAGCCATTGATCAACGCTTTCGACCACCTAATATCGAGTGGTTAGGAACTGGTTCATTTGGGTCCAGTTCGGAAGGTCTTTCCTGGAACTGAGAGATTGCTTCCACAGAGCCACTGTGTTCTCAGGAAGCTTTGAGGTGACGAGGTAAATTATTATGGGGTCCCATCTCTCTGTGGAGACTTGTTGGGTGGCGAGAATTTGGAGACAGTTATTCACTGATGATTGGAGTTTGTGAATATCTTCACTGTTCTCCACTTGAATAGATTTTAAATTCATGAGAATACGTATTTGGTTGTCAACTAATACTCTTTTATTCTCATAGCGAGACCGTAAGGCTTCCCATGCCAGCTCAAAATTATCATCGCTCAGTGGGAATTGTTTCACTATTTGGCCGGCTTTGCCTTGAGTCTTGTACCGGAGATGGTACGATTTCTGAGCTTTTGTGAGTTTCGGGTGATTAATATATACCGCCGTGAACATGTCACGAAAAGACGGCCATTGCTCATAACCCCCATAAAATGTTTCCGTATCGCACGGTGGGACCTTTAAGCCGAAGCTAGAGTTTTCCTGGGGTTGAGACATACTGGGAGTAGGCGTGGTATTGGTTGCTTGATTAAGAAGCAGGAGTTGATCACCAATCTGGGCTTTCATATCTTCATACGTTATGAGGCATGACCTGTATTTATTATAAGCGGAGGCTTTGAAGTCCTCGGGAAGGTCCTGCTCCTCAGTCTCTACTACTAAATCATATGCGCTCTGGACTCGATTCCAAAAATTATCAAGGTTCTTGTCTTTAATTTTTAGTGCAGACTCAGTATTGTCTTGGATTTGAGTTGTACTGAATCGGGTACAGTAATCCATTAAATTGTCTGTCTCAGAGATAAATTTAGGGGCTACAACTAACGCAATGAAAGGCAATTACGTAATTGCGAATGCCAAAATATATAAAAAAGGGTGTTTGCACTTTGATACGTGCTACTGATAAAATCGCTGGAGAATAGTTTTATTTTATTGTCTTTTATTTTTATTTTTATTTTTATTTTTTTTTTGTGGGTCTATTGAGGGATATAAGGGGACCGTTTCACTGTACCTGCACTGTACCGTATAACTATGCGCCGAATTAGCCTTTATCTTAATAGCACTTTATATTATATAATGTATTAAATGTATATATATGTTGTTGGGATAATGTAATTATGTGTTAGTAGAGATAGTTTACAATATGTTTGTTTATATATGTATGTTTACATGAAGATTTGCTTAAACATGGAGCATAGGGATTATATGCAAGTAATTGTTATTTTCAGCTTTTATTTTGTTGCATACGCTTCTAAATATTTCAGAGACGAACCCTCTTTTTTTTTGTAAAGTAGAAAGCCATTGTACGTTATTTCAGTGTGAGATTATAATTTGAGATCACAACACGAGTTTGTGACACTGTATTTAATTATATGAATGTGTGCTTATAGGTGAGCTGTGTATTCCCTATAAGATAGAATGTTAGAGGCTGTGCACTGCGACCTTAGGTCTATTGTGCCCTGTGTATTCCCTATAAACATTTTGGCGAACATTCGAAAATTACCTTCGATATTCAATGTGCATATCGAACTAAAAACGAACTCATAACCAACCTTAGTTTTCCAGCGTTCATACTATATTGGAAATAAATTTGAGATGGGATCGAAAAAAAATTAAAACCATAGCAAAAAGAGAGAAAGTGAAATCCAGCTCATTCTCGTAAGGAAATATTAGAAAATCATTTTCTCTCATTAAAATTTCAATTCGATAATGGGCTGGATTTCGAATACCTAACGAAGGAAAAATACATTGGATAACGAAGGTTCCGTTTTGCTGGAGAATGGCCTAGTTCTCGAATCGAATACTCACCTATTCTACATTAGTAAACGAAGGTGAGACTGGAAAAAAAGATTTGTTTTCCAATCATTTTCGAATAGTTACTCAAGCCCAATGTTTATTGGGTTGTACATACAAATGTATGTGTGTATGTATGTTTGCATACACGAAGCACCCATGCAAGCCATGGCTGAGCAGTTTCCCCTCAAATTATACAGATTTACACACACCTTCGCAACTTTTTAGCTATCACACGCACACATTTATAAATTTGGTATTCGAGTTTTGAAAAATTTTTAATTTGCTAGAGCGGAATTCCTACTTTTATAGGAATTATGTGCGTTAAAGCGAGTAAGAAATATGGCAGTTTTTATGACAGTAGGCTTTGACGAAAAATGTCGCATTTGATAAAAATTTTAGAGTATAAATATTTTTTTATAATTTTACAGACATTTCAAATTTCATTTTATGTTCCCGTTGCCGTTGCCGTTGACTTTGCATCATTATTTTTAAGGTATGTACATACATATGTAAATTACTTAATTTGTGCATTTTAATTGATTTTCTCGTTATTACAGATTTGCAACAATTAAAATTACCATCGCCACCATCATCTTTAACGCCGTCACCAGCTGATATCGCACTCATCATCAATCAACACCTCCTCCATCACCTTTAATGCCACCACCAACATCGTACCATCACCTTCAACACCCGTAACAGAAGTATCGCTACCATCATCATTCAGCACCGGAACCAGCAAAATCGCACCATAAACATTCCCCGCCCTTACCAGCAAAATCACCTTCAACATCGCCACTATTACTTTAAGGCCACCACCAACATCACCTTCATCGCCGGCACCAGCAATGTTATACACATCCACATCAATGGTCCTGTGCAATAATGACACAATTCAAAATTCAAAAATAAAAACTGTTACTACTGTTAAGTGGCTCTTGTCTGTAATCCTCGTCTAATCCATTTCCAACCTTAACTAAAGTAAGCAGTAAGGATTGCTAAAGTAAGTACTAAATATTAGACATGGATTAGATATATGAGCCACTTAACAGTAGTAAGGGTTTTATTTTTTGAATTTTGAATTGTGTCATTATTGCACAGGACCATAGATATGTACAAAGTATATTTGTTTGTACATATGTACTATACGAGTTTTGTATTAATAAACGTTTTTTAAATAAACAAATTCATTTTTAAAAGTAAAAATATTGATTTTCTACTTATTTGTTTTTTTCCTGTACTGAGGAGTTTATAACGACAAAAATGAGTAGTTTGATTACACTGTGAGACAAATGGTAGGGGTCAGTGATCGGGAAGGGTTCAAACCACCGGGGAAAGTTATATCGGTAAAAAAGAAGTTATACGTGTCCCGGCGTTTCGCTGGGTCACGTCTAGGAATCGAGATATATCGATTTGAAGTTAGTAACTATCATATTTTGCTCAAACAAATTTAAAAAAATTAAAAATTACAATTCATATAACGTTTTTCTATATAATCAACAGTTTTGCCGGTAAAAATAAATGTATGAAGAAAACAAAATATTTAAATTCATAAAAAGTCCAAAACGGAAAAAAATGAATTTTATGAATTAAAAAAAAAATTTTATTTTTAGGCAAAAATAATTTTTTTTCATACATTTATTTTTACCGGCAAAACTGTTGAGTATGTAGAAAAACGTTATATTAACAGATTAAAGGAATTGTAATTTTTAATTTTTTTAAATTTGTTTGAGCAAAATCGGACTAGTGGTTCTCGAGTTATGTCAAAAAAAAGACCTCCAAAGGTGACAATTTCCCCTATATGATAGTTACTAACTTCAAATCGATATATCTCGATTCCTAGACGTGACCCAGCGAAACGCCGGTCCACGTATAACTTGTTTTTGACCGATATAACATTTCCCGTTGGTTTCATCCCATCCCGATTTTGACTGTCGCATAGTGTTATTAGTGATGAGGAGTTTATAACGACAAAAACGAGTAGTTTGATTATTAGTGCTGAGGAGTTTATAACGACAATAATGAGTAGCTTGCTTATTAGCACTGAGGACTTGCTAATGACAACAATGAGTACTTTATTCATTAGCACTGATGTGTTTATAAAAACGAAAATAAGCACTTTGGTAGTTGCTAGAGCAGAGCAGATATATTTTTCATTAATCAAAGTTTCCAATTAGTAAGAAGGGGTAAAATATTACACCGACAAAGGGAAAGTGCTCAGTTTTATCCCATGGCCTGAACAAAAGTGAGTATTTTAATAAGCACTTTTGTAATTAGTGATAATGATAAAATGAGCACTTATTTGATGCTCAGCTGTCTTGCAGGGACCTGTTTCACTTTAATATTTTGTTGTACAAATTAAAAAGGAGATATATGTTATAAAAAGGGATGTGAGTGAATTATGCACAAACGGGTTTTAAATCATACAGAGGCTCGCTTAATTGGGAGAGAATTTAGTTTTACTGTCTTTTATTTTTACTGTCTTACAGTATGTATTTACCGCGTATGTATGTACATATGTACATATGTACTATATGCAAATCTTCTTGTATGTACAGTGGTATATGCGAACCGTTTCGGGATTTATTTACTCGAAGAAATGAACTTGTTAAAAAACCAATACGGTCGCAGAATTACGGGAATCGAGGCAAAGAAATGAACATATATATGTAAAGAAATTTTCTATAACGGTGCTGGCTCTTTCAAGGCGACGAAGGACCAGTGTTTAGGCTGTATGCCTTTTTGGGGAATAGGGCGAGATGAAACAACGGCGGGGGTGAGCTGACCCTCAGATGGGGGTGCTGGCGAACCAGGAAACTAGTGACGGCGGCGATGTGGTCGACGGTGGCAGGCGGCGATGCAAAAGCTGGCGGCAGACGATGATGCGGGAGCTGCTGACAAACGGCGATTTCGGGAGCGGGTGGCGGACGGCAATACGGCCACTGGCGGTGACTGCTGTGCTTTTTTGTGGATGCACAAACCGTAGGGGCGATTATTATCGGACGGCGCGTTTGGGTTTTCGACACGGCAGATGTATGTTTCAAAATAAAATACGGATTTTCGCTCTAACTTTATAATTTATTCACCAACTTTCAAGATTTTATATAACTAGGCAGAATACCGATTGCGCGGAATACAAATTAGGGTTGGTTTTTAGAAAATTCGCGAATTGCTACTGGACGACACGAGTGTGGAAAAAATTCAAATCTATACAACGTCATTCATTTCGTGCGCTGTCAAAGGGTGCCTGCCTTATTGACATCAATATTACCAACTACGCATATCACTACCCTGCCAGCCAAAACTGGTGAAAAATCTGGTGAAACCGCGGGTTTCGGTCACTTGAAAACTGGTGACAAAACTGGTAACATTTGTATAGGCGGTTTGCAGATTGTCACCACTTTCCCCCTGTACGTGTGAGCCTTGCATCACTGTCGCTTTCATTCAGATCCTTCGTAAGGAAGACATATAGCTGCTGCTCTAGCATTGCCCCCTTCTGCCGGCTCAGGGTTGCATTCTCTTCACAGCGAATTCAAAATAACCTTAGAAACTTGAAATAAAAAATCCTAAAATGTTTTGATTTTTATTTTGCAAAATTTATTTTCAAAATGCATAATATACATACTTAATAACCAATATTATGAATAAAACTTGTAATTAACATTAATAAATATATTTTTACATACATACATATGCGCTGGCTTAATTTCTTATTATTAGCATTACTCATTTGCACATAGATGTTTAAAAAGTTGGAAAATTTCTATAAGAAAGTTAAGCGATTTTAATAATATTATAAGCAAAAGAAAGGTAATCGATTTATCTTTCTTTTGATATATATTAAAAGTTGAAAATCATTTATAATGGTTCACAAAAATTCAGTTCCATTACAACTTTGCAAAATTTGATTGCGTTTTTCGACTTATATATAGACGGTTTCAAAAGTTGCAAAATTTCTATAAAAAAGTTAAGCGATTTTAACTATATTATAATCAATAGAAAGGTAATGGGTTTACCTTTCTTTTGATATATATTAACAATTGCAAATCATTTACACTAGTTCACAAAAAATCTGTTTTGTTACAACTTTGCAAAATTTTACCACTTTTCCACTGCTTATATATAGCTGTTTACAAAAGTTGCAAGGTTTTTACGAAAACGTAATGCGATTTTAACGGTGTTATAATCAAAAGAAAGGTAATCGGTTTACCTTTCTTTGATATATATTAACAGTTGCAAATCATTTGTAATGGTGCACAAAAATTCGGTTTCGATACAACTTTGCAAAATTTTACCACTTTTTCACTGCTTATATATAGCTGTTTACAAAAGTTGGAAAGTTTTTATGAAAATGTAAAGCAATTTTAACGATGTTATAATCAAAAGAAAGGTAATAGGTTTACCTTTCTTTTGATATATATTAACAGTTGCAAGTCATTTATGGTGGTTCTGAAAAATTAAGTTTTCTTACAACTTTGCAAAATTTGACAAGTTGGACCTACACTTTGAAGGGGCTCCTGGCGTTGAAGGTGCTGAGGGCGGAAGGTACTCATGGTGCTCCTGGCTATGAAGGAGCTGAGGGTAGAAGGTACTGGTGGTGCTCCGGGCGATGAAGAAGCTGAGGGCAGAAGGTTCTAATGGTGCTCCTGGCGATGAAGATGCAAGCGTTGAAGGTGCTGATAGTGAATCTGTAAACAAGCAAAAGTATCAATTAAAATTTATAAACAATTATAAAATCTCAATACATACCTTAAGAATGTGACTAAGTCGCTGCTGTTTTGCAATCTAAAAGAAGAAATTACATTATAATTAAATAAAATTGTTAAATACGTATTCTTACCTTCAAAATTTTCGTAGTGACATTTCTTCACAGTATGTATACTGTCATCAAAACTCTGATGTTTCTAACTTGCTCGCTCTAACGCATAGAATTCTTGCTAGAGTACGAATTCTTATCGGGTATGTAGCTCTTACAAAGGGACATTTTTTGACAGTTCGAACAAAAAATTTGTAAGTGTGGGTGAGATGACTAAAAAGTTGTGATTGTGTTTGTAAATCGTTTGAATTTTAGGGGAAAGTGGTGAGCCGTGGCTGGCAGGGTACTTAAAGTTATTTAAACATTAGGGGAGGTTTAGACTTCACAAATATTAAGTACAATAATCCAATAATTGAAATATAGATTTTAAGCTAAGTACGTTATGCAAATAAATGGATATAATAAATATGTTAATGTGATGTATGAATGCGTGTGTACAATGAGCATGTAGCTTTAAGATACATATGAATAAATACGTACAATGAGTGATTAAAATTCAAACAGTAATGCAAATATGTACATGAGCTGATTCAGATACAATTCCATTTATAGACTTTTGGGTGTCTGACTGGCTAAGCAGTCCTCGCTTAGCCAAATGTTTCGAATAAAACTTTAACAAAATAGGTAAATCTTCTTTGGAAACTACCTTACCTGGTGTTAATATTTATTTGTAGAATATATCTTCACGCTTGAAATCAAATCTTATATTTGTTTGGTACAAAAACTCTATGTAAAACTTTAATATATATTTTGGTTTTGATTATTTTCATTTTTAAAATCAATATTAATGTTGTTCCTCATCGCGGGAAAGCAGGAAATAAAATAAAGTTTCAAACTATCCCATTGCTCAACTATTCTTAACACAACGCTTTCTAGTGAAAGCCATCGTGTTTGAGATATGCCCAAGATGTTGTGGGGTTTTACCGAACAGCAGTCCTGAAATTCCTTTAGTTCATGTATCCCCTTCGGACTGTAGGAAAAGAAACTACATGTATTTGTTGCGGCACAGTGTCTCAATGCTTTTCGGCAATTTTTTTACAAGCGTAGCTTGAGCAAGGGTGAAGTGATTGGCATGTGCACTTTATATAAAATA